ATAGTTGGTGGTTTTAGCACCAGTTTTGCTGTAGGTTTCTCCACTCTCCAGCTTCTTCCCCTTTGGTCTTTCCAAAATACTGCTGGAGTGTCTTTTCCTCTGCTGCCACAAATTTATAGTGTATGTGTTTTACATATATCTGTCCATTCTTAATTAAATATGCTGCTGTATATTGTTCTGATAACTTAGCCACTGTTCTTTTTCCTTCTGCTTTTAAATAATAATTTGAATTAAAAAACCAAAAACAAATACAAAGTTTTAAGAAACCTAATTTGAGGTGATAATTTTACATTATCCAGTGGGGTTTAGCCAACCATATTTACTTAATGTTGGCAGAAAGGTTTTAATTCAGTATTTCTTGACAAATCAAAGTACAGCTTCATTACTGACTGCCATCTCAACGGCACCTTGATTAGACGAGCCTTTGAGATTGCAGTGCACTTAGTGTGATTATTCTGTTGGCTTTGGGAGAGGCCACTAGAGTTCCTATGATGGGGAGGCACAACTGCTGTTGCTGTTTGATCAGTCCCTGCCTAGCCTGAAAGGCAACGGACAGAGCAGTGGTTAAGATGTTTTGTCAAAAATTGAGAACAACCTGTCGCTGATTTTAGTTATGCCCAATGAAATTAGCATAGGTTAAGTTTTTTTATATTTAACTTTTTATGTAGGCAATAGCTGAAATGTTCTGATTTGAGAGTTGCTGGATACTCAGTAATTATGGGTAGCAGGGACTTAATAAGTACCTCCTCTAGGTTCCTCTCTAGAGCATCCCAAGTGTGATAGTGCTGCTCCTAAATTTTGAGCATCCTCTACAGCTTCCTAACTCTCCTTAATTGAACTAGACCCTTTTTAGGTGAAGGCCTGAAAGGCAACTGTTAGTCTGTGGCCTGATTGGAACTGGAAATGTCTGATTATTTAGCTGAGGGATTTTGCACAGTTGTTCATTGGAAGTGATGCACATTCACACATGCTGTGCATCTCCTGCTCAAGTGGTTGAATTGTTTGGTGATGGGTTTAATGGCTTTGCTTCCTCGTAGCTTCCTTCTGCTGTCCTGCACTCTGCTGGCTCATAGCTGAAGAATCCTCTGTTCTGATTTTCTGTATGTCACTGTTCTACAGTTGGCTGCAGAGAATGCACCTGGAGCAGTTCTCCAGAAGTATTTGTGCTGTAAACGCTTGTGATGTGGTATGAATCTGACTGGCTGCTGTGCTTTGCATTTCCACGTGGTCTGGTCCCAAGGTTCTGTACTCCTTAGGTCTCTTGTCAGAAAAGCAGGTTTTATTCTCTTAATTCCCATAGCTAAAAATGATGCTATTATTGAAAGGTATGGCACAATTGTTACTTCCAAAAGTAGCATGCATCTGTCTTTGCAACTTCTGGGTCTTAAATACTCATTTAAGTGTATGGTAGAGCCAAGAACTAAGCCCAGATTTTGTGAGAGAGTTCTGTGAAGAATGGAAAAGTTTCTGTTATAAGCCGTGTAAACTCTAGTATTCTTTGCAATTGCATTTGTGAGTTTTGGCTGGCTGGTTAATGTGACATTGCTGTTTGATTGCATCCCCAAAGATGATAACGTTGGCAACATGGACTGCTATCATAAAAAATGCAGACAGCATGACTGACTGTGGAACTTGCAGAGAAAAAAAAAATGCTACTGTCCAAATAAGACCTTTTGTTTCCAAATAGATTATTATAAGTAAAATTGATCTGATAATTAGAGCAGAAGGTGCAGTGGCCAAATTATAACATGAATAATTTGCATAGTTGTGTTCACTGTTCTCCTAGAAAAACACCTGGGCTCATAAACTGATAATAATATGCCTTAAAACCATTTATGTAAAGCTACATCTTTCATAATAAACAATTCTTATGTAAAACCTTCAAGATAAAGTCCCCATCTTCTTTTCAGGTGTCTTGTGGTGGATAAGACACTTATGCTTGGATGAAAATATCACTATAATCTGTATCCTGAAGAGGAGGTATTGGCAGTCCTGAGAAGGGAGAGATGCTGACTGACGAAAAGCTCAGCATGAGCTGGCCATGTGTGAGTGCAGTCCGGAAAGCCAGCTGCACCCTGGGCTGCAATACAGGAGCATGGCCAGCAGGTCGAGGGAGGTGATTCTGGCCCTCTGCTCTCATGAGACCCCACCCGGAGTGCTGTGTCCAGCTCTGCAGTCCTCAACACAAGGACATAGAGCTGTTGGAGCAGGTCCGTAGGAGGGCCACAAAGATGGTCAGAGTGCTGGGACAGCTCTCCTGAGGACAGGCTGAGAGAGTTGGGGCTGTTCAGCCCCAACTGGAGAAGAGGTGGTTTCTGCGACACCTTATTGCAGCCTTCAAGTGTCTGAAGGGGGCCTACAGGAAGGCTGGGGAGGGACTTTTTACAAGGGCTTGTAGTGATAGGATGAGGGGTAATGGGTTCAAACTGCAAGAGGGTAGATATAGGTTAGAAATTAGCAGGAAGTTCATCACTATGAGGGTGGTGAGACATTGGAACAGGTTGTGCAGGGAAAGTGGATGCTCCATCACTGGATGTGTTCAGGTTGGATAGGGCCTGGAGCAGCCTGGTCTAGTGGGAGGTGTCCCTGCCTGTGGCAGGGGGTTGGAACTAGATGGTCGTTAAAAGTTCCTTCCAACCCAAAGCATTTGATGATTCTATATGAAGTATTTCCTTGCTTATAATTCCATTTATCTAGATATTCATGCAAAAGGACCTAAAAAGAAAAAAAAGAAAATATGCAAACCACCTTGTCAAGTTTGTATTTCACTGCAGAAAGGATTTCTGTAACGAGCAAGACCTTCAAAATTTTAAAATGACACCATCCTGTTAATAATTGGGTTTAACATTTTGTTGGCAAGATGCAACCTTAAATCTCTGTGAAGTGGTGGGGAAAAAAGGGCTTTGCAGCTAAGTTAGGAAACATTTTTTCTTAATTAGTCTTTGTAATTTTTTATGAAGTACTTAAATTTCCTTATGTTGTTGTGTATTTAGAGAACAGCATAAATTCTGTACTTGCCCATTTTTAAAGTGGCATGAAAGCATGTGATTGCAGAAAGTCAAGTCTTCATTCGTTTGCCCTCATTCAAAGACTGACAGCACACACAGATTTACATGGTATTTACAGGAGATCCATCTCCTCCTGATGCACATCTTGTGCTTTACTCTTCAGTTATGAGATCATAAATGTGACACTCATTTTTGCATCATCACTGCCTTCTCTATTTCTTTCAAGCTTCCTTATCTGGCTGATCGACAGGAGAGTAATAAGGACAATAATCAGTACACTGTCTAATTTGTAGTAGATGGTCTAGACAATTTTTAATAAAGAAACTGGCTGTCCCTATGCCCGTGCTTGGCTTCCATTTGTTGCAGCCTCTGTTGGTACTGCAGTGGGTTGCCTCCTGTGCCTCCTGGCGCTGGGAGAGGGGACGAGGAGGAGAGGGCAGTGGTGAAATTGGCCTTGATGAGCAGATCAGTCTCTTGGGGGTGTCTGATTTTGAAGCACGTGGTTGCGATTTTACACACCTCAGAATGCATCTTTTACAGCTGTCTACCTATTGGTGTGTTCTTGCCAAAAATGAAGCCCCAAACCTCTCCTGTGCTGCTCAGGATCTTCGTTAACACTGGGTACTCGCTGACTGCAGCGCGGGCAGTGGCGCCGCAGCAGCAGGCGGTGGGAGGTGCCTGGCGGCGGCTCACCCAACTTCCCATGCTGGACTTCAGCAGCTCTCCAGCATCTTAGCACGCTCCTTGGAGGAAGCTAATTAAATTCCTGTAACAATGAGCAGACCAGCTCGTTCCTGTTAGTGGAACAGAGGCAGTCTGGAATTTCCTGGTAACGACAGAGCCTGGATATTAAGTGGCACTCAAGTCACGCTAATTAACAGGATCTTCCTCAAAAATTAGTACCCCGCTCTCTTTAGCACCACTGTTTGTAAGGACAAGGCATCACGCTACAAAAAACAAGAGCACAATACAGCTGTAGCAATTAAGACAGAATTGTCTATTTTAGATTTTGTTCTCAAAGCTTAGTGACTGTTTTCCTTATAGCTACAGATCAAAACATTCGACTTATATGGTCCCCAGCTAATCTGGCACAGGACTGAGCATATCCTAAAAACGTCTGTCATCAGTCTTATGAATCTGCTACAACACCTCTAAGATGCAATGAAACAAACCAGAATTAGTTTAAGTAATAAATGTTTAATCAAAGAATTTTACATATTATTAACAGCATTCATTTGGCCAAACATCTACATGGTCGTAGTATCCTACTTGTATATAAAGTGGGAATGTATCAAGTATAGACTATGAAAGTGCAAATAACAATTCAAGGTTAGAGTAATTTTTTTACATTATAAAATTAACAGGTTTACAAAATAGTCTCGCCAAACTTTATTTTTGAATTGTAAAGTCAATGACTATGGTGTTAAAATAAGTACCAAGAAAATACAAATTTAATAGGCTAATTTCATGCTTGTAAGAGTAACACAGAAACAATGGATGTACTGCACAACCTAACCAAATTACAAAAAAACCAGAACCCACAAACTTCACTATCTTCACAGAGAGCACTCTGACGTATCTTACTGTAACTTTGCAAGACATCTCAATGCAATACACAATCTTCTTGTGAGAATCTTTCTATTCAGAATTACAATTCAAGGGAGCTATGTGAGTTAAACAGCTTTCAGACCAATTTATAATGACAGTTCATGAAGAACTGTTTTAGTTGAAGGATTTGATACCATAGGACAATGAAAATAGGCATTTTTCAAAGATGTCCAAGGTTTTATGATTATGTCAAGAGGAGGGCAGCTAGAGGAAAAGCTGGAAAATTATTTGAGACTGTTCTATTCTCTCTAAAGATGCTTGCAAGATGAACAAGGTTTTTGTGGGCTAAGGGTAAAATATTCTTATTTAATTTTTTACTAATGTGAACCTTGTGACTTCAAGGTTCAAAAGCTGGATTTGCATGACTTAGTTACCGAAACACTCACTTGAACTCACAGTAACCAATACATAAACTTTGCTATCATGACACTTGCCTATACATACTCAGCAGTAATAAACTTTTATACCATATCAACAGATCTCTGGTAACAGTTAAGCAAAACTTAAAATGGAGTGTATGTAATTTGCTCATGTTATGACAGGTTTTGATTATATGTAATTAAAACAGCCATTTAGACAACTTACTCTAGTTGTAATTACATACTGTACCATTGTATCTCACTAACTGTAGATTGATGCTTTTAAGCAAATCTAAAGCCAGTTTTTTTGTTTATTTTTTTTCCACAGTACAACAACTAAGAAAAGGGTTTTTTGTGTTGTTTTTAATTTTTTTTTTTTTTTACACTAAACAGTAATCACACAGCAAATGAATATTGTGCAATTGAATAAATACCTAGCAGTGTTTTGTTTATGCAAAAACACTGACTGAACATTTAGTTATTTACTGTAAAGGCAAGGCCATGGGTGGTTTTATGGAGGTCTTTGCAATTAATAGCATAGTTACTCCAGAATAGACACAGAGTTTGAATTACTTGTTTAACTGTGGCAACTATCCAGTTGGGTTAGGCAAAGGCACCGTAACATGTTGAGCAGAATGTGTTATCCGAACTTTAACTGTGGGACTGGCTAATACATGAAAATCCCATCTTCCTATATTTTTATAAAATGTTCTCATTAAAAGTAATTGCACTATTAGTGCATTGAATGCTTTGTAGAATTATGAAAACAAAGAACTATGATTGCACTTCCATTAAAGTGTCCCTTAAAATACAGCATAGCTGTTGCTAACACGCTGTATTTTAATATTTAAAATAACTGTTTAACAGCAGCATTAGGTTTTATTAACTTAAGATACAGGCTACATTTCTTTAAATGCAGTCACCATGGCAACACATGCCAGTTAAATTTAGAGAAGCAATGCTACCCAGTGGTTTCTGTCACTGCTATGAATTGTGGGATTAGTTTGATAGAGTAACACTGCACTGTTTCGTTAGGCTACTGCCAGCTAACTATTCACAGTTTGGCACATTTGGACTGTAAATAGACATGAAAAAATCTTTGATTTTAGTGGGAAAGAATATCCCCTAAACTTGTTCCTGGAGCAGTACTACAGAGAACCATTAAATACCTCTGTTCACACTGCTCACAAAACGAAAAATGAGTAAGGAAAAGTTACAGAAAACAAAATGCAAATGAATTACTAAATGTTATTTTGGTGAGAGAATGAGTTCTAAAAAATTGAATAAACTATTTTTTAGGAAAACCAACCAAAATAATCAGTGTAAGCCTTCAATCCGTACTTTCAAGTTAAGGATCGTCAACCTAAGGCTAAACAGATGTTGCATTGTATTAGGAATGTGGAATACAACCTACTTATTCCTTTTTCTTCAGAGCAAAAAGGCAAGTACTACCTAAATAAATGCAAAGGATATTCCTTGAAAGGTTCACATTATTATAAAGAACTACAATTCAAGAGAACTCCTAAATATCCGCTGTTGCGTCAGTGGTTACAACTGAGCCGTAATTATGTGGAACAAAGCCTCCGTAACGCTCACTCCACATACTGTACCATCTGTCACCACCACTCATTGACTTCAGACTTAGTTTTTGCTCATACCAGATGCACATGTTCAATCCATTCACTTGACGTTTGAGGAGCCTGACTTGAAGTATCTCCTGAAGCATCCAGGGTGCTTGTTACCTCCCTGTCACTATCACCACTTTGTGATACCGTTCTACTTAGAATAATGTTTTCTACAGAAGTGCTTTCCTCTGTTTGGGTTCCTCTACCCTCATTTTTGAGTGCATCCTCAAATAGTGCATGCTCTTCCTGAGGCTCCAGCCCTGTAAGATTTGGTTGCCCTGCTGACCCATCTTCAGTACTGGGCTGCTGTGAAACCTCATCCGTTTCTGTACTTGTTGAGGGGATCAGAGCAATACTTTGTGGGTTCATGTCATGAAACCAGGCCATAATATTTCCAAGTAGATTTTCACTGGTGTTGGGATCCTGACTGCTGGAATCAGCGTCACTAGATGTTGAGTATAAACCACTTCTTGTATCGCTGCAGGGGTGTGAATGAAGACGATCCGCTGCAAAAGGATCGCTGCCTGCACCTAGTCTCATCAGACCGTCACCAAGTTCCAGCAGCTCAGAGCTGCTCAAAGCTCCTCTTGGATTATCTATACTTATGGGAGCAGAGTCCAGTCTTGTTGGCAGAGAGGTACCTATTGCTCCTAAAGATGCCTCGTTATTGAGAAAGTCTCTAGTTTCCTCATCTATGGACAAGCCAGATTCTTGTAATGATAACTGAATAGCTAGCAGGATGTTTGGGTCATCTTCATCCAAAGAACTCAGAGCCTGTGGAAATACATAAAGTTGCTTTCAAGATAAAACTTAAAACTTTCACCTGGTTACATATTTTGGATTTAAAGTACATTTGGGCTCAAATCTGAAATTAATTCATTATCCCTACATGTAATTTATCAGAATCAATTTTTACTGACAGAGGTGACGACAGAATGTAAACGTGACTGTTGTTACGTGAGTGACTGTTCAGCACTTCGTACCGGTAGGCATGGGTAACTTGTTGTCTTAGATTCTCCCTTTCTCATCGAAAAATTAAGAACATTTGTAGAGAGACAGACACAGAAAAGTAGAGCAGAGGAAGGCAAGCAAAGCAGAGAGAATGAAAAGAGATTAGGGGAAATACCTGAAGAGAATCCTGGTTTTCAGAGCGACTGACAGGGGTATAGTCATGAAGTGAAGAGCTGTGCAGAATACCCATAGAAGCTGAACTCACCATGGAGGTGCCGTGTCTTCTACTACTGCCACCTTCCTGAGTGTCTGTTGGGGCAATTGAAACAAAGATGGTTGAAGAACCAGCGAGAAAGCCTTCTCCACTGTTACTTACTCACAGAATCTCTTCTTTCTTTTTGGATTCCAGCTGTGTAATTTTATTTCTTTATTCACTCTGAACTAAATAATCCAAAACACACCAACCTGTGCACAGAGGCAAAAGCCAGTCCTGCTGTTTTAGGAGTGCCTGCCTGGTTAATTTGTGCTTTTCTACTCTCAGTACCCTTCTTCTCTTTGGAAGAATGGAGCATGCCTATGCATGATTTACGGACAGTCCTGGAAGATACTGCACATGGGCACAACACAGGATGCATCGACAGGTGGATTACAGCCAAGGTTTGCCCATTTATGTGTTCTTTCAAAGACTCATCTGTAATATTAATATTACATCACTTTTATCATAACATTGCAGCACAGTTAAGAGTTGTTCAGTGTATACCTCAGCAATCACTGATGACCAACAAAAAAACAGAAGTAAAATTCCGTTTCCAGAAAAACTGCTGTATATTAAAAATAAATGTAACTCTTTTGACTTTGGAAAATGGAACTTTCCACATCAAAAGTCAAGAAATAAGGTGAGACAAACTAATTCTCTTTGCATGCAGTAACAGTATGCAGTGGCCACCACTATGATATTCAAGTGCTCAAAGTCTAGTCCTCAGACTAACAAGGTGGTTTTGCATTCTACTTGTAATAGGGAAGGATCAAAGCTCACCAAAATTCTTCATGTTTCTAAAACAAAGCATGCATTTTAAAAATTTCTCCTCAGTAAAGCATTTCTCCTTTTGCTTTTAGAGGACAAGCTGTGTGTAGGACTTAAGTTCATGAGACACAGCAATGAGAGTTTGTGCAGTGTGGCTGGGAGACCGAGCACACAGCTGGCAGCTCTGAAGAAGCAGCATGACAGTATGGTTTGGATTCCAGCTATTTTTGTACCCTGGAGAAAGCTCATGGCAGAATGGAGACATCCAAGTTACAGTGACCTTAAGGGACCATAGCATGCTTAGAAGAGCAGTGTGCTGGAAGTCATAGCCCATGCCAGCTTTTTTCTTGGCTGTCTTTGCCAGTACAAGAGTTTCTGAGCAGGATTTTGGAATACAGCCTTATGACTACCTTCCAGTGGGGCTGTGGCAGGGGAACTCTCTTCCACACTCTTCATGCACTACTGGTCCTTTCAATTTGCATAAAAGAGCTGGTATATAGGCAAGGCTGTCATATGAACCCTTCACAATTTCTTCAGAAAAGAAAACCTGTCATAAATATCTCAAGAGTTGTTAGTGGGAAGATCAATGCATTACTCTTGAAAAAGAGGAGTAACCACAATGAAGTCACCAATGCTTCTAAGATCACATTAAAAAATGCAAAACTAAGCCTTTGTGTTGTATCCTGGAAAATACAGTAGTGTATCTGAAACCTCTTTAAAGTGTATCTACAGAAGAACAAACGCTGTGGCCACTATCAGCAGTCTCTTAAGCAGGAAGAGAAAGGGCCCAGCCTGGGGCCATACCTAATGTCCCCTCACTGGGGTCGTCGGGGTCCGGTGTGTTGCTCAGCAGGCTGTGCATGTCCCCACGCCGGCGCTGCCTGTGCCTCCTCCGGTACTGAAATTCAGCATATTCCTGCATGAACCAAACAGTACAAAACACAGGGCAGCATGCAGTAATATTTTTCTGATGTAACGAGCAGCACATTTTTATAAAAAATGTGTGATTTTATAGGTTTACTATAAAATCACCTGTTTTCAGAAAAATAAATTGCAATATCATGCAATGCTTAACATAAAAAAGCTTCCAATGTAATCCTAAACCTATTAAAAAATGAATCAGCAAAAAAAAATACCTGACATATTTTTGACATTTTAATACTTGCAATCTCCCTTTTTAAAGAATTCCCAGTATGCGTATTTTTTTTAAAAAAAGCTTTGTTGCCAAACCTCATCTACACTGACACATTTTTAAAAAAATATATACCTAGTGATTTTAGAACTTAAATTGAATTAATCTGAATTAGACCAATAGATTATCCCAGAGTTCTTGTTGCCAGCAATGGCCTGTAGAAAAGGAGGGCTGAAACACTTCTATGAGGACAGGCTGAGAGAACTGGGGTTGTTCAGCCTGGAGAAGGCTCTGGGGAGACCTTATTGCAGCCTTCCACTGTCTGAAGGGGGCCTACAAGAAAGCTGGGGAGGGACTTTTTAGAAGGGCTTGTAGTGGTAGGATGAGGCGTAATGGGTTTAAACTGGAAGAGGGTAGACTGAGATTAGAAATTAAGAAGTCAAGTCCTTCATGATGAAGGTGGTGAGACACTGGAACAGGTCGCACAGGGAAGCTGTGGCTGCTCGGTCACTGGATGTGTTCAAGACCAGGTGGGATGGGCTTTGAGCACTCTGGTCTAGTGGGAGGTGCCCATGGGACCACTAAAGATGATCTTTAAGGTCCCTTCCAACCCAAACCATTCTATGATTCTATGAAGACAACCTTTGGAAGACTACAGAAAGCTGTCAGACATACACAGGGACTTGATATACTCTTCCCTGCCTTGAGGACAACATGGCTCAGGGACTTCTTAAGCCACAGCCTGATACTCTTCTACTGTACAGTCTCTGATGGGTTAGTTCACGAATTACACCTCTCTATTTTTGCCTGCCTTGAGCTGCTAACGAGTCATACTACACAGATTTGAGCCCCTGCAGCCTCTAAATTCTTATGTTGTGTGTATTTACCAAAGACAGTTTATACAACATTTATGGAAAAGACTCACCTTTAGCCACATCAAGCTAACATCCCAAGAGTTAATTATCTTAATACTTGGAAATAAATGCTTTGATTTCTATATTTTTCCTAATATTAAAAGAATACTTTTATGCTTGAAGACAAATTTCCAGATCTTCTTTCTGGTTAGCACACCTGACACTTAACCTGACTCTGTAGGCAAGATCTCTTGTAAGATCTCCTGCTAATTTCAGTTATTCATTTACGCAAGGCAATAAAAAAATACATCTAGGTACTAGGTCTTCTCTTTGGAGAAAAATATTGCTATTTTCTTCTTTAAGCCTTAGGATGGGAAATCTGTAATCCAAAGGCTTTATTTGGTGAAAAGACATTGCCATTAGCTTTCCTTCCTTACATTAACTCTTCATCCTAGAATATCTCAACATCTAAAGCATCTAAAACTTAACTCTGAGAGTATAGTTTCTCTTACACAATGACCTTATTAATTCTCATGGTATTGCGATGATGGTATGTTGTCTTTCCATGAAGTTTTTCAGACCGAGTTCTTATGCATAATGACATACGCAAGCCAAAAAAGAGCAGGCACAAAAATGATCAGTGTGTGCAGATTTTTACCTATGTAAGATCCATGAAAATTGTAACATAAAAACAGCTGTTCTGGACCAGACAAAAGGTCCCTATATTCTGTCCTCAAGAGTGTTTAGTAGTAGATGCTTGTTAGCTGATGGAACAGCATAAAATACAGGGCAAACATTAAATAAAGAAATTTCTAAAATATTCCTCCTGCTCCTAGGGAGCTCAGGGATTTCCTAAATGAAAGGCAGCACCCCAAATGACAGAAATTCAAAATTAGATAGGAAACAATATGATGGAATTCTTTTTAAAATATATGATTATATAACTCTGAATTAGATAAGGAATAATGAGAAGTGGACACAGAACACTAAGATTTATTGGTAATATCGGAACTTATCTGTTTGCAATAAAATCATAGTTTTTTACTGACAGCTGTTTAACTTTTTGTTGCTTTTTAACCTTTAGAAAGAAATCTTGATTACTACTGATAAAATTTTGTTTCTGGTTACTTGGAACAACTTTATGTCTGTAAACAAAAGGAGTTTTAACTTTACTGTGTAGGAACATCACGTTTTCACACAATGGTCTACAACAACCAGCGTTCCTTGCTAAAACCAGTAAGATATTGTTTCCTGTAATAATCTGGTATAAACACATTCTATTTGTCAGAAAAAGTACAGTTCTGTGTCAAAGATTTTGTAGTGAAATTCACTAAAATAAACAAAGATACCCATTATTATTAATTCTGGAGAATTCCTTTAGCATAGGTAGTTGCAAGTATCCTTGATAGCTACGTAGCAAAGAAACCATCTTGCATCATACAGTGCCACATTTAGGCAAATCACAAAAACTCATAGGCAATCATCTACACAGACTGCAGTGGCATCTGCTGCTAAACAGCTTATCATACTTCTTATCAGCTTTTTCTCGTAACCAGTTCCACTGATGAGAGAGTAACATCACAATGAGTTTGATATTATCAAAAATGGAATTATTTCAAAAGGAAGGACTAGAGGAACTAGAAAGGAGAAGCAAGTTGGTCTTTGGAGACAAGCAAGCTATTCTCTCACTAGTGTAATGCTCACCAGCAACAACAGCAAAGGAAATATATAGAAAAAGTACATGGAGTTTTCCAGGATGATTTACAATGACTAGCTAGGAAGAAAACAGCACCCAATAAATGCTGAAGTTAATTTTCCTTCCTAACTGAATGCTTTAATCTAATGTTCCCAAAATACTAAAAAAACCCCCAAACAACAAAGCTTTATAGGAAGCTTCACATATCTTAGTGCAGAGCCACTAAAATTATTTACTCTTTCAAATATATTGATAGCAGAATATTCACTTTAAAAATTATACTTTTTATTCTTGGTTAAGTAGCAGAAATTCATCTCATTTGAGTATGCAATTTCCATCCTCCTTCAATACATAAAAATAAAAAGAAGCATTTCAAATAGGTAATAATATTTAGGTGTATGCCTGTATGTTTTTTTGTTGGATTGTTGCCAAAGGATGGAAATTTCTTAGATTTTTTGTCAATTTCTGCTGAACTGATACAGCATTTAAAACTAATTATGCAATTTCATATATTTAATACTTGAAGGTTCCTCAGCACATAGACATGTTTCTGTATAATTTTAACACTAGTTATGTACTTGAAAAATGATGAATACAACACACCTTGTCTAATGCCACCTTGAATAACTGTAGCCAGGTTAGAGGCGTTGTTTAGATACATTGCACAATTAGCTTTGCATATATTTCCTTCTATTGTACAGTAAATAAAATGGTAAGCTTAAACCAACTTGAAATGCTTTGAATCGAAATAAGGAAGCTCTTCATGCAGAGTGCCATCATACCTGTTTCTAGAATAGGCAGAACTAAGTTAAAAAAAAGAGAAATAAACAGTTTACCTCAGGGGATGCAAATCCTAAATATTCCCAATCCCATGTTCCACCAGCAAAGCTGTAAAATGAAGAGATATACCATAAAGTTGAGAACAAAGTATGAACAACTTGAAGAGCTTCAAAACCTATCAGCGTCTAAGAAGTGGCGTGACTGCAACTCTAAACAAATTTTCTGCTTTAATTCTTATCTCAAAATTAATTTAGGAAACCATAAAATTGAATCGTTGACTATTCCAGAACTGCTTGCTATTTTTAGCAAATACTTATAGAGTTTTGGCGTGTGCCAGGTATTTAGTGACAATCTTTAAGGAAAAAAGTGAAGTGGAAGCCACGGCATTTAAGCATTAATATATTACAAATCTGGAGGCAATTCAGGTTACAGAGCTGTGATTCTCAAGCACATTTTTCCCCAGTGAAAAGTAATGCCACAAGGATCAAATGCCTACGATGTCAGCTGTCTGGTGACCTATAACCATCATGTTCATCAGCTCCACTTTACCTCACTGTCAAAAGAATGATAGTGGATTCACCCACTTCGGCAGCTATCAGTGAACTTTTCTGACTTGTACAGCATTTTGGGTGGACTACCTGCGCCTGGGTGCTTCTGGTGAGTCTGCAGGAGCAACACCGCGGGCCACGGAGGCCAGGAACTCCTGCCGCTTCTGCTGCACCAGACAAGCTGCGCGGATGATTTTGTGGCGCGGGGTCCGAAGGTAAGGCCTGTTCACTTTCTGTGCAAGGTCTTCGGTGACCATCTCTAGGTCTGTCTACAGTAGTTATTAAATACAGAATAAAATAATTTTACAGTGGAATGAAAATCAGGCAGAGCTCTACACCATAAATACTGAACAGAATGATACCCATTTTTCTGGAAATACCATTTCAAATGCTAAAATACCCCAAAATGTCTGCCCCTCTAGCCTAACCTTCATGCTGTTCTCCGGCTTGGAGCAGGGATTCCCTGTACTTACACATACTGAACACCTTCAGGAAATGGAAAGGGAAAGATGGGAAAGCAGAGATAGAGAAGACTGAACTTAAAATATTATCTTCAGAAAAGCAGGTCAACAGTAGATAATTTTCTTTTTTTCCCCTTCCACCTGTCCTTATCCTTTTCATTCTGCAGGCAAGTGTTGTTTTTCTTTCATTCTAAAACTGAACTCAAAGTTACTGTGTCACACAGTATTAAAAATGCATTAATTTCCCAACTTGGTTACAAATAGAAAACTAGTTTTACATTTCAAAAACAGAAGGACATTGTTAACTAATATTACAAAAAAAAGAGTAATGTTCAAAAAGCAATATATATGCATATATTACCTGCATAAGTTCAAATATTTCTTTCTTTGTGCTTTTAGGCTCCAAGAAGAATCCATATGGATAAGAACACTTAAGAATGCGTCGAGTTTTTAGAAGCTCTTGTACTGCATCTTCAATGAACGTGGTATCCGGACAGCCGCCCTCAGCTGCAAGATGAAACGACCATTGT